TTTTTGAAACATTTTTTTAGAGTTTTAAACATGTTTTGTATAGCCTAAATGACTAGTTTATGAATAAAGTAAACTTCTTTTGTATTATATGTAAAGAGACAAGGTCTTTCTATGCTAAAAAGGTTGAGAACGATTTTTACAGAAGTATTTAAGACCTAAAGATGATTTTAAAACATGGTTAATCTAAAGAAAGGAGTTTAATTCATTGTTTTGAGCTTTTATGCATGTTTTTAGGGTTTTGAATACAAATCTAATGCATAAAATCATGTTTATAGTTGTTGAGTTGTTTCCAGATGTTCATATCTGCTGTGACATGTTTGCATACAAGTTTCATGAAGATTTAATCATGTTTGAATCACAAAAACACGACGTGAACACGACATACACGACCAGAGACCTGGCTAGTCTCTAGAATCAGGGTTCATGGTCGACCGCCACGGTCGACCGCGTGCAGGACAGAGACCCGGGTAGTCTCTGGAGCCCGTCGCGGTCGACCGCTAGTTTGGCTGTACATGTTTAAATGGCTTGGTTTTGGTTTTACGAGCAGATTTCTCGACCTTATGATGATAGACTATGATATTAGTGATTGTTAAACACCTGGGATGATGGTGAACTTCAGATGTGGTCACACACACCGAGATTTTGTGCATGTATGCTAGATTGAGTTAGATTGACACACTTTTGACATGAGTTAATTTGATAAACACATATGAATAATGTTGTTCTATACTTATCCGGAAATAGGGAGATGAAACCTATTTGTCACAGAACGATTGAGTAAGAGTATTACAAAAGTATCGTTATTACACTTATCTAGAATAGGGAGATAATAAAACCTATTGCCGCAGAACGATTGAGTAAGAGCATTACGAGAGTATCGCTATACCATAAGATGATGCACACATTGATAATTGATTAGTTGTAAGCTTTACTTTCATGATCGATTGCTCGTGAGTAGGGTATTTTCTTTGAGATTTTGATACACCCGTTATGAACGATAGATATTTTTGTTTTAGCAATTGTTGATATCCTCTTATGTTAGAGCAGATCACTCGGACGTAGTTCGATATGAGATGATTATTTTTTATGTTGGAGATTGGGGTTTTTATCATTGGTAATTTGTTTTTCATTCATAGAGAGTTGTATGAATGATTTGATATATGTATGTACTGACTCTATTTTCTATATACTCCTACCCCTTCCCCTGGGGAGAGGTAGTGATGATCTCGCTAGCGCTTTGATGCTTGTTGTTTCCCCTCTTTCAGGCAGAGAGTCTGGCGCACAGAGAGTCACAGGTTGATGGGACATCTTAGTTGTCTGTTTAGCTATTTATTATATTTTGTAGTTATTGCAGAACTCCACATGTAGTTGATTATTTTTAGACTCTAGATTGGTATTTTATTTCATAGAGTTGAGAGCTATTGTGAGACTTGGTTTATTTGACTCATTATATTTGAGATTCAGTTCAGACTCAGTGAAATATCTACTTCATTCCAGTTGGGCTCATTATTAATATTTCTTATGCTTCTTCTGTGTATATTTTCAGTGTTGTTCGATTTAGATTATTTACCTATATGTACCTTCATCTATTTATTGTTTCCACTAGAGAGATAGTGATTGTGATGGTGAAACATGTCGTAGCATGGAGTTGGTGCTTGGTAGGTTTGACAATCCGGATTTCACCTTGGACTGCAGCCTTGTGTAAACCCTGGGGCGTCACAGTTGGTATCAGAGCTCTAGTTCCAATATTCTTAGGATCATTCCTGTGTCATATTGTGGAGTTTAGGATAGAGTTTCCTAGGGATTATGTATACAGTCCACTAGGAATCCTAAGCATGAGTGAGGACGTACTATATATGTACGCAGAAAATCTAATATTTTTTTTGATGATCTATTTGCTTTGATTAATAAAGCATGATATGAGATATATGTGATACGATTTACTTATTGGTATATGTTATATCCTTCATGCTTGAGATCCAATTTACTGCATAATAAGCTCTAATTTGGAATTATAGATATCAGGAAGAGGTCGTGGATGCCGAGTTTCTCATGCTCCAGGAGTTGAGCAGGAAGATAGGGAGCCCGAGCAACAGCAGGCTCCGGGAGTTGAGGAGGAAGATAGGGAGCCCAAGCCGTCGCGAGCTCCTCCCCTTACTCCGATGATCCACACCGCCTCTCGTCAAACCCCGCTACCGCCGAGCTGAGCACGCCGACGTCCTGACGACTCGCTGCCCCTCCCTCAGATCTGCTTGCAGCCCTCGTCGCTGAGTTCCTCCGAAGAACACCGTAGTTGTTGCCTTCACCGACGCTCGTCGAGGACTTGCACGACAGCGTCGATTCATTCGACGAACCTCGAGGCAAGATCCCCAATTTTGATTATTATTTATTTTAAAATTTTTAGATTTATCATAAATTTATTATGTGCTGGATCCCTCTTGCTCGTTGTCTCGTTAACTTAATTTTTTTATCTCTTATGAATTATTACGTATATGTGTAGATTAGTTTGTGCTGATATGATATTAATTGTGTGATTGTTGATAATATTATGGTGAATATATTTTGTGAAACGATGCTATAAATGATGAATAAGTATATCAAAAAAATTACTTTATGGTTAATTTCGTGTTGTTTGAAAGGAAGAATATATTTATAGAGTATTTTTAGAATTATTTATAATGAGAAAAATATTTTAAAAAGAATTATTTTGAGAAAATAATTTATTTTGGATAAGGAGTATTTTTGAATAATTTTTATGATTAAAATAATTTTATTTTGAGAAAAAGAGTATTTTAGATTATTTTATAAAATATCATAGAAATTATTTATAAAATTAAAAAGTATTACTGTTTATAAATAATAATAAAAATATATTTTAAGAAGATTATTTTAGAATTTTTATAATGAGAGATAATTTTAAAGGAAATTATTCTTGGAATTAATAACTGAGATTTCGATTTTCATGTGCAAAACATCTGTTAATGGTAGTTTCATCTTGCATTGTTAATAGTAGCTTTACTCTCGTATGTTTCTCGCATGTGATCATGACCCATGTTCACACTTCATGACATTGACACTTAGTGTAATTGCATTTATTATTCCATGTTGATAATCATGAGAAGTACTTGACTATAGTGACCTGTATGACACAGTTAGGATCTAGAACCTCGTGTGTAGTTAACCTGGAATTACGAGAATGGGGTGAGAAGTCTTGGTCCATGTGAGCGGTTGGGATTGTTGATGTATTTTCCTTGCTCGCGTTGGTAAAGTTTGTGTAGTCATCGGGGTGGGTCTGAGAAGTTGAGATATTTATGATTGTGGTTGTATTCCGGGCTCGCGCCGGTGAAGTTTGTGTAGTCACCGGGGTGGGTCTGAGGAGTTAACATATTTGTGATTGTGGTTGTATTCTGGGCTCATGCCGGTGAAGTTTGTGTAGTCACCGGGGTGGGTTTGAGGAGTTGGGATATTTGTGATTTGCGATCAGTCAGTTACCTAATGATATGAGTGTTAACTCTGTGTGAGTTATGAACCAGTGACCTGTTATAGGATGACTAGTTACGTGACATTGTTACTTAAGGTGATTATGGATTCTTGTGAGAGGTAGGCCAGTTGTATTTCTTTTTATACATAGATCGGGATTAATATTTAATTATCTACAATTTGAGATATATGATATATGTACGAGGGTTTCCTTGTTTGGATTATTTCGCTCAACGTACTACATCTCATGTTGTAGATTTTTAAGTATTAATTCCATCTAGTCGTATAACCTTGTTATGTGGATGATTATAGGATGACTAGCTGCATGATCTTGTTACTCGGATGTTTATGAATTCTCTTGACTATTATACTCTAGTAGCAGATTTTATCTAGCTTGTAAGTATCCCAGTTGCATGCTCCTATTGTTACTATTATCATTACATGATCCTATTTCTGTTATCGCATTGGTTACTCTTCTATTATCATTACTGCTGTTGCATCTGTTATTGCCTTAGACGTTCGACCGTTTCTTTCTCCCTTGTGGGATCTTTCCGTGTGCCTTGCACACTGATGTACACCTGTTTTCTCTGACGTACGTCAGATTTAGGAGACAGACAGCCTTAGTTCGGAATCGTACAGGAGCTAGTGGATTCTCAGCTGGAGTGCCTTGCCGACAGAGTAGAAGAATAAGCTGAAGCGTAGTAGTTTTCTTCTATAGTAGTTGTGGAACATTAGAACTCTTTATCATTTTTTTCTTTAGTTTGATGATGGATTTTTGCATTTTTAGTAGTACTTCTTTTTATTATGGACTATGTATTTTTATTTCTAGTTGGATCGTTTTTATAATAAGGGTATGTTTGACCCATATTTTTATATCTGGGATGATTTACCATGGATGATATATTTATTTCTTATTCTGGATTGTCTTTATATTTTTGCTATTGTGATCGAGGACCCGTGATTGAGATTTTTGTATTTGACGCTTAGCGTATTGGATTGAGAAGAAAAGAAAAAAAAGGAAAAAAATAATAGTGTATATTTCTTCTCAATCTAACACGTCGCAGGCTTGTTCACGTTCCGATTCCTGGGTATTTTGGGAAGCGGGGTGTGACAGGTTTTAGTGGTGGCCCATGCAGGTCACGGTTCCGGGTCCTCACTAGTAAGAATATAGTGGATAATTTAGATATATATCATATTTTATCCGTAAGACTACAATTAAGTTCTTATACTATTATTTTAATAACTATGTTTTAGTTCCTATTTTCCCCAATATATTGTTTAATTTTAATCTTAGTTATCCTTTTGATTCTCGTTTTTCTTCAGAACCATGGTGCGAATGCGTGGCTATAGTAATCTACCTAGTAGCAGTGCCCTACAGCCCGAAGTGGACCCGAGCTAAATTCTGGCGATGATTCAAGGATTGATCACAAATCAGCAGCACCTGGCTGGGCAGCTACAGCGGGAGCCTCAGCACCAATCTCCCCCTCGTCCAGAGTCTAGTGTTAGGGGAGCTCTGGTACATGCGACCGCCTTCCTTCTCTGGTGCTGAAGGACCCCTAGCAGCGAAGGAGTTCCAAAAGGTCACTGAGACTATTCTCACGGTGACCCATATTGTCCTTGCTGAATGGGTGGATCTCATGGATATTCAGCTCATCGATACCGCTCGGATATGGTGGGCAGCTGAGAAGACTCATCTGGAGAGGCTAATCCTGTGGGAGACGTTCATAGAGCGATTCAACAAAAATTATTTTCCTCAGTCAGCTCGGGACAAACTCCTGCATAGGTTCGTTGAGCTCAAGCAGGGAGGCCGATTAGTTGATGAGTATGAGGCCGAGTTCTCTTCCCTGAGTCGATATGCTCCCCATCTGGTTACATACCCTACTATTAGGAGGCATCAGTTTCAGAAGGGTCTAGATAAGTATATCAGGTTTGCTCTAGCTGGTAGAGCACTTGCGACGCACGATGCAGTATTGGATGCAGCATGTGAGATTGAGAGCGTGCAAAGGAACCTGAAGACCCACATGTGATTTGGAGTAGGGCACCAGTAGTTCCAGATAGGAATGTCGAGCGTCCTCCTCAGAGGCAGCAGCAAAATCCGTAGAGGCAACAGCATTCTTAGCGTCAGCCATTTCATCAGGCTCATCCTTATCAGTGTCCTGGAGTGCAGTCGCAGAGCCAGTCTTTGGCATAGTGTTCCTATTGTAGCTACCCTAGGCATACCTAGCAGGAGTGCCCCAGGCGTCTTCATCTGTGCTACAATTGTGGGTCCCCCGACCATGTCAACCGGGACTATCCGCAGCGACATCAGGCCAACTTGCCCCCACCTCCAGTTCGAGTAGCTCTTCCAGATCCACCTCATCAGCCTCAGCAGCTCTAGCTCAGCACAGAACCTACCCTCGAGCAGTTCCTCTTCCTCCACAGTAGCAGGTTTATCAGGAAGCGCGAAGGTAGCAACCACCACGCCAGACATTCATGATGACAGCTGTGGAAGCTGAGGCGAACAACCAAGTTATCACCGGTGAGAATAGTTCATTCTTAGTTTTATTTGCATATGAACTTCCTTACTTCGCATTGCCTTATGATATTATGATAGGATTTATTTATGAGTGCTAGTTTAGATGTATTTTCCTTCTACACTAGATAAGGTTCTTGTTTTTTCCGTTATTGCCTTATCACTCTTTGACTCTGGAGCTTCACATTGTTTCTTGTCTCATCGATTTGCGAGTACTCACTCTCATTCCATATTCTCTATCCTTGGGTTTAATTTTGAGGGCGGAAATCTGAACGAAGATCTATCTTCGAAAAACACTGAGGCCCCTATAACTGGTCAAACAAGTTATCAATCCTCGGTAATGGGTACCTGTTTCGGATAGTGACCTTGTTCAACTCGTGATAATCAATGCATAATCACATACTCCCATCCTTCTTCTTCACAAAGAGGACCGGTGCTCACCATGGAGAATGACCCTGTCGAATGAATCCCTGAGACAACAACTTATCTAGCTGGATCTGTAGCTCCCTCATCTCAGTAGGCGCCATACAGTAAGGAGCTCGGCAAATCGGCACGGTGCCTGGCTGTAACTCTATGCATAACTCAACCTCTCTCACTGGAGGTAATCCTGATATGTCCTAAAAGACATCCTGGAACTCTGAGACTACTCGCATCTCACTTAAATCTGCGTCCCAATTTCGTAACATCACCTCCTCGATGTATACCAGATATGACTCCACAAACTGGTTGACTCTGGAGGTCGCTACCACTAACTCAGATCCATCAAAAGCTTGCAAACTGACTGTCTTCGCAAAATAGTCAATACTCACATGGTAGAAAGATAGCTAATCCATACTAAGGATAACATCGAACTCAGACATACGCAATACGATCAAGTCTATCACAAACTCAGAATCGTCCAAGCTAACGATACATCTCCTACAAACACTCTCTAAAAGAGACGTCTCCCTTAAAGGAGTAGATACAGATAAAGAAAAATCTAATGGCTGGGCCAAGCTAGAGACTAACCGAGAAATTATAGGAGATAGAAGAATGCGAAACGCTAGAATAAAAAAGAATACGTGCTGGAAATGAATTCACAAGGAAAGTACCTTCCACCACCGTCCCGTTCGCACCATGATCGCGAAAACAACTGCATACACCCTACCAGTCGGCTGTGCTGCATCACTTGGAACATATGGGACTATCTGTCCCTGCTGGATCTCCTGAATCGCTCACACCTGTCCCTTAATCCTTGGGACTGCTGGAGATGCCTCAATCCTTAACTGCTGACCCTGACTGTGACCCTAAGTGCGGTTCTACTACTGCTGCGGATTTTAGCCCTGCTGGCCTGCTGCGAGTGCGTTGTGGCACTCTGCTGCTCTATGACCTGACTTGTTGTAATTGAATCAAGCTCCATGAAACTGGTGCTACTACTGCACCCTCTGATCCTGATAATTGCCCTTCTTATAGGGACCCTGCTGCTGTGGAAACTTATTTTGATGCTGGGGTCCTCCTGAGCCTGTAAAAGGTCTCTTACCCTTACCCTTATCTCCTGACTGTCCTGACTTAGCATTTCCATCTTTACCCTTGATAAACATAGCTATGTTTGTCTCCTGGGCTATGGCAGCATCTGCCACCTCTCGTACTGAACGGAATCTCCAAGATACTAGATATCGGCGCAAACCTGGACGAAGTCCCATCATGAACATCTGAGCCTGTCTCTCATCGGTGTGCCACATGCTAGTGAATCTAAGTAGTGACATGAACTTACTCTCAAAATCCGTCACCGACATGTCCCCCTGCTCCAATCGAGCCAACTCTAACTCCTTTCTGGCTTTCGCTGTAGCCGACACATACTACTCCTTGAAGAAATACATAAAAGTCTCCCATGAGGCCGTCATCCTTTGTTATGGGGTAAAACGAAGGTGATACCATCCTCCTGCATCACACTTGAGGCTGAAAGCTGCTAGTCGCTGCTTCTGCACGGTATCTACATTAAGCATGTCCAAAATATTGCTCACATCCTCCTTCCACTTGTGTGCTGCAATGGAATCCGTTGAACCATGGAACTCTGGAGCCTTCAACTTTTGGTACCTCTCTACCAGGTGAAGCCAAGCCTCCCGCTCAGCCACTCTATCTTCAACCAAAAGTGGCGGCGTGACTACCAGTGTCCCCTCTGGTATCTCCTCCTAAATGGGTGTTCACTACCGACCCTGATCTGCTAACTGCTCCTCAATAGCTGCCAGATGAGCTGCTAACGGTGCTATGAGATCCACTAAGTACTATAGAGCTTGCTGTGGCTCAGGCTCTCTATCAACTTGCCCAGCTCCTTAAGCACGAGTACCTCAGCGTCCACGTCCTCTTTCTGACATCTATAATATAGAAGTAGAGCTTATTACGCAGTAAATAGAATCTTAAGCAGAAAAAGATATAACGTATACCAATAAGTAAATCGTATCACATATTACTCATAGCATGCTTTATTATTCAAAGCAAATTGTTCATCATAAAAAAATATTTTGTAATTTTCCGCGTATGTATATAATACATCCTCACTCATACTAGGATTTCTTAGCGGTCTGTATACATGATTCCAAGGAAACTCTATCCTAACTCCACAATATGACACAAGGATGACTCTAAGGATATTGAAACTAGAGCTCTGATACCAACTGTGACGCCCCAGGTTTCACGTGAGGCTACAGTCCAAGGCGAAACCCGGATTGTCAAACCTACCAAGCACTAAATACTATGCTTTCACCATCATAGTAACTATCTCTCTAGTGGAAACAAAAAATAGATGAATGTACCGATAGGCAAATAAAAGAAATAGAACAACAAAAGCAAATAAGAGAATAGTCATCAATGAGCCTAACAAAAATAGAATAGAAGTATCTTTGAATCTGAAATAAACCTCAAATATAAAGAGTCAAATAAACTACCACTACGGCTCTCAGCCTCTACAAAATGAAATACAAGTCTAGAGTCTGAACATAATCAACTAACTGTGGAGTTCTGACTAACTACTACATAATAAATAGCTAGGTGAGATCTATGCAGAAATCTCATCAACTTACGACTCCCCGTATGCTAGACTCACTGCTTGAAAGGGGGGAAAACAACGAGCGTCAAAGTACTATAGCGAGAACATCTCCACCTCTCCCCAGGGGAAGGGGTAGGAGTGTATAGAAAATATAGAGAATACATAAGTATAGAATCATTCATATAAATCTAACTGGAGACTAGTATTTAGGAATCCACAACACGAGAGTTAGTACGTCGAGCGAAATAATCCAAACAAGGAAACCCTCATGTATATACCATGTCTCAAATTGTGACTCCCTAAATACTAATTCCAAATTCCATGAATGAATAATAACAAACAAATAGATAATACTCCAAACCTCAAACCTGTAGAACAAATATCTCATCCTGATCTATACTCGGGTAGATGGATCTAACATAAAAGGAACTCATCCAAACAAAAGCCAACCAAATACCATGTTGTGTAAGTCACGGTCTCAGAGAAAGCGCCCTACTTGCGGGTATTCAAAAATAGAAACCAATTTATAATTTATATTACTTACAAATGTGCATCTCTTATACATTAGTGATACTCTTGTAATATTCTTACTCAATCACTCTACGGCAAGAGGTTTTATCTCCCTATCTCGAAAACATAATATGACGATACTTTTGTAATACTCTTACTCAATCGCCCTGCGGAAATAGGTTTTATCTCCCTATTTTAGAAACATAATATGACGATACTTTTGTAATACTCTTACTCAATCGCCCTGCCAAAATAGGTTCCATCTCCCTATTTTGGAAACATAATATTTGTGTATTTTTCTTATTTATCATGTTAACACATCATATTTTAAACATACGTGTACATATCTTGATGTACGTGTCTATATATGGTGTTTACTGATATTTTAGATGTTAAACAACTCATAAACATTGTATCATAACAGTGCAAAGTCGAGAGACTCACTCGAAAAGCAAAACAACGAAGAAAACATGCACAAGCCAAAATGCAGCTTAGCGGTCGACCGCGAATATGCGACGGTCGACCGTGATAGGTTCCAGGGCCTATCCGGGCCTCTTTCCTATGCGGTCGACCATGAGCCGAAATTTCCAGGTTCTAAAGATGTGATCATATATTGTATTCGTGACGTGTTTGTATGGTGCAACCACATATATATCAAGATGAAACTTGCGGGAAAAATAGGTCTACAGTAGATAAAATCTTCTGGAAATAACTCACATATGTAACATGATTATTTGTAGTAAATTGATATTCAAAATCCTAAAACATGCATAAAAACTCAAAACGAATAACAAACCTCTTTCTTCACTTTAAACAATGTTTTAAATCATTCTTAGATCTTAAAAACTTCTGTAAGTTCGTTCTCAATCTTTTTAACATGAAAAGACCTAGTCTTTATACATATAATATAAAAAAATTAACTTTTATTCATAAACTAGTCAATTTGGCTCTATGAAACATGTTAAAAATTCTTCAAAAAC